TGTATCTCATTATTATGACTCTGTATCTCATTATTATGACTCTGTATTTCATTATTATGAATCGGTATCTCATTATTATAACTTTGTATCTCATTATTATGACTCTGTATCTCATTATTCTGACTCTGTATCTCATTATTATGACTCTGTATCTCATTATTATGACTTTGTATCTCATTATTATGACTTTGTATTTCATTGTTATGACTTTGTATCTCATTATTATGACTTTGTATCTCTTTATTATGATTCTGTATCTCATTATTATGTCTTTGTTTTTCATTATTATGACGTAGTATAATTATGACTTTGAAAGTTGAAATTATGACTTTGTATAATTATAACTTTGTATATCATTATTATGACTTTGTATTTCATTTTTATGACTTTGTATCTCATTATTATGACTCTGTATCTCTTTATTATGACTTTTTATCTCTATTATGACTTTGTATAATTATGACTTTGTATAATAATGACTTTGAAAGTCAAAATAATGACTTTGAAAGTTGAAATTATGACTGTATGATTATATATTTGTATCTCATTATTATGACTTTGTATCACTTTTTTATGACTTTGTATCTCATTAATATAGCTTTGTTTCTCTATTATAACTTTGTATCTCTTTTATTGTGACTTTGTATAATTATGACTTTGAAAGTCAAAATAATGACTTTGAAAGTTGAAATTATGACTTTGTATGATTTTTTTTTATTGGATGATTGTTTCGTCTGGTTTCGGATGCTGTGCAGCTGGAAGGATTTTTACTGAAACTTTTTTTAGTTTTGGACATTTGTTATGATGCGTAACCATGGCAACAAGGCAGTTTTCTACATCCAACAGCTGATTAACATCTCAAAAACTCACATATCTCAACTACAGACCCAAATCTCAAATGACTTGAAAAGGATGTTCTGTGGATGCATTCTCATCTACCTGCCAGCTGTGCTCGGGTGCCTGGCCACTGAGATCCTGGAACTAGCAGGAAACACTGCTCATGACAGCAGAAGGACAGGATCATCCCTCGGCACCTACAGTTGGCTGTTCGCAGCGATGAGGAGCTTGGCAGACTGCTGGGAGGAGTTCTGCCCGGCATCCGGGCGCTCCTACAGCCCGGGGGAACTGAGAGGCCAGCCGGTGGACAGGTGGACGGATCAGACAGCATCTGCAGCCAGTTTCTTAGGATCCATTGTGGGATGAACCTTTACAAGAGATCCTTCCTCTCAGCATCTATCTTAATGAAATGAGGATAACGAGTTACAACAACAAATAATTTCCCTTTGGGATTAATAAAGTTTTTTTGAATTTGAATTATGTATTTGTATCTCATTATTATAACTTTGTATCACATTATTATGACTTTGTATCTCATTATTATGACTCTGTATCTCATAATGATGATATACCATTGTTTTTATTTTATTGGCAGAAACGGGCTTCCATACAATACGCTGTATCGAGTCATAAAAGTAACATTTACATGTGAAAATGTAATGCAGTGTTTTTGCAATGAATAAAAAAAAAAAGAAAAAAAAAAAAGAAGAAGTTTCGTCACCGCGGCGTTGCAGCTCGATACGGCCCTGTGTTGTCATTGGGAGAAGCCCTGTCGGGCCCCCCTCCCTCGCTGCGCCGCCTCGCAGAGTTCAGTCGGGTTGCCAGTCAGAGGAATGCGCTGGGATGCGGAGCAGCAGCGACTGTAGGAGACGACAACTCGCACACTATGGACAGCAATGATCCATATTTACACATCAGTAAGTACCGAGCCGCGCCTCTCTCAGTCTGCAGCTGCGGATCTGTTTCCACTCCGACGGTTTCATGGCGTCTTCGAGCTGAAACTAAAACCACAGCCCGAGTGGACTTTACCCAAACGACGCCTGGCCGTGCGTGCAACAGCTCGGGAATACCTTTAAATAATAATTGTGCACGGTGCTCGGACTGGATCGCTACCCTGTTGCATAAAGTCAGGTGCGGGTCCGGCAAGGTCAGAGGTTGGCACTTTAATTGCGCTTACGTAATTTATGGCGCTTGTCGCGCGTCTCTCGCTAAACTGTTCGACAGAAGCACAATTTATTGGTCTGGGGTGGTCGTTGGATCGGAAAGGGGAAGTGGCGTGTCGGAGCACGGAGGAATGTCGGCGGCTTGGTGCCGATAAACAAACTTCCAGCTCGGTTTCTGATGTGGAGAGAGGAGCGCGCCCGCCGGACGCGACTTGCTCGCTCACAACACGACGGGATCTCACTCCAGGCCACTCTTTGGTGACTTTGCCCTTGAGCCAGCTTTTCTCCACCATCCTTTCAAAACTCACACTCCTGGGAGTTTGCAATATGTTGTGAGGCTACTGGAGCTTCAGTCCAACTGGTTGTCAGCCTTAAATAAATCTGTGGAGGAGGAACCTCAGGTTTTTATGTCCAACCCTTATCACGTGTTTTCTGTTCTGCTTCCAAGTTATTACGATTGAACTGTGAACAAGTGGGAGGAATTAAAATCTTATACAGTGTCATCAAACATATCTGAATCATTTAGTGAGGATGAAAATTGTAATGAATGCATCCCATGGGGGGAATGATACATCTGATGACTAAAGCCCCACAGTGTACAAAATAAATCATATTTTAATTTAACGTCTTCAATTTGCACCATTGTCTGACCAAAGATCAACATTTCCACTGAACTTTAAATAATTAGATATATTGGTCATAAAGGCAGTTCTGGTGAAATTAAAGGTACGTGTTGCAAAGAATGAAATCAAACATAAACATTAAAACTAAATCAAATGGTGCAGTTTGAAAGAGGTTACTCTGGCAGTTTTCAGAAATACTGATATGCAATTTTGAAACGTGGGTCAGTACTTGCGTCACCTGATTGACCTGCATTAGTCTGGAGTCCGTGTTGGTAAACAAATAAGCAGGAATTGGTCAAGTGTAGAATCTTGCAGAAGACTTTTAAATGCAAGAGTGATTCAGCAAATGTGAACAAAGAGGATGGATGAGTTGGACCACTATCAATAATAAATATTGAGAATGATCATTTCAATCAATCAATCAATCAATCAATCAATCAATCAATTCAACTTTATTGTCCATAACATTCAATGAAATTGAGATTTGTCTTTGACATCTGGCTTATAAAACAAAATAAAAATGTGATTAAAAACTCTAAAAAAACTTAAAACCAAACTTTGCTAAATCAATTAAAAACATTCAGTTAAAACCATTCTAAAATACACGATACATTAAAATATGGAAACATCCCAGACAGTAGTTTGTTATGTGAGGCTGCGTTTAAATAGGACCTTGTTAAGGACGTTCACCGCAGAGGGAACAAATGACTTTTTGTACCCATTTTTCTTTGCTAAAGGAACCAGGAGTCTTCTGCCAGATGGTACAACCTGAATAATGGTTGCAGCCTCATCTTTGTATCTTCTTCTTCTTCTTTTGGCCTTTCCCTCTTCAGGGGGTCATCCTCCTCCATCTTACTCTGTCCTCTGCATCCTCTGTCCTTCCTCCAACTACCTCCATGTCCTCTCTAACTGCATCCATATATCTCCTCTTTGTCTTTTTCCTGGCAGCTGCATTTCTTCCTTCTACCAATATACCCACTGTCCCTCCTCTGGACATGTCCAGACCATCTCAGTCTGGCCTCTGGTCTAACTTTATCTCCCAGGTTGTTCAACCTGTACGAGCCTTGCTGCCCTTCCACTTGGTCTCTAGGACACATAAAACACCTACCTTCCTTCTCTGCATCATGCCAGCCGGCTCTCTACCTTTGCCTGTCATTGTTCCTACATTTAGAGTTGCAACCCTCAGTCCTACATTCTTGACTTTCCTCTTCTCCCACTGTCTCCTGACACGTTTCCCTCATTTTTGTATTTGCATACTTTACCTAAGAAAATCAGAGTACAACACATTTGCACCAATACTTGAACATTGTTGGACATCATCCCATATGGCTCCTTCATGGACGCCGCCATTGTTGGCCTAGTTTCACTCACTGGCTACAAATGCATGTTGGAAAACCGTCACAATTATAGCTTACAAATGTCTTATTTAAGAACATATTAACCAACAATATGAGGAACAACTGTGCAGGTTTTGTTATTTTTTACATTTATAACTTTTATCTTGAAACAAACATTTTAGTATATTGCAAAACGGCTGCACTTTTTAGCACAACTTTGAGTTGTAGCACCCAACAGAGGTTCCACTCTGGGTCAGAGTGTACATTTTTGTACTTATTTATATTTAAAAAAAAATAGTCCATAAATTTTAAAGTATGCATAACTTTTCTGAAAAGTAGTGCTTATACAGTTGCAGTAGTGAGAACCCACTGAAAGACGATTCCTTGTCTTGTGTTTTAGTTCTCAAACTTTGATTTGTGATCAGCAGCCCACACACACCGAAGCACGTATAAAAACAGTCAGAAAACATGTTTCCTGACTTTGAATGGCTCAGCCGTTGTAATCGTACTGTAAGTGTGAAGTCAAGGCGTGTGGAGTCAAGAAACAAGTCGGTGATTATGTGCGGATTGTTTCGTGATCCTCCTCCTCCTCAGCTTTTCTCAGCCACGTTGTGTTTCAGCAGGTTTCATGCAGGTCTGCCCATGGGGCTTAGGAGTGGAATCAGCATTTATTTTCTCTTTTGGCACTTCAGCATATTTTAGTTTTCCTCAGTGGAAGTGATTCTAGACGTGCTGACGAGCACCCCTCGCAGTGCTTCTCACATCAGGAACTTATTTAGCTTGCAGATCAGGGAAGTGACGACAGATGAGAGAACAAGTCTAAAGAGTGAAGGGAAAAAGAAGGGTGAGTGTGTGTGTGTGTGTGTGTGTG